CCGGTCAGGATCGAACTCCCGGCTATGGGCAGAGTTACCCTGCAATACTGCATTCTAACCACTGCATTACCAGGGCTCTCAAATTTTAATCATTAACTGTTAATTTGTAGGCGGCCCTGTTCCCTATACCTTAAGTGTATATTGGAAAGACAGAAAAGATGCTTATAGTGGAGGAGTAGACAAGCTCTCCCAGAAGGAGTGGTGCAGTTAAGATGCTGAGCTTGTCAGCTGGAAAGTCAACAGCCCAGGTTCAAGACTCAAGTGCCACAAGACTGGATGAGTTCCCATCCTCACTCCAGTTCCTGGTCATTTAGCAGTTAGAAAGCATGCAAATGGGAGTAGATAAATAGGTACCACTTCCGTGGGAAGGTAACAGCGCTCTGTGACATCATGCTGGCCACAGGACCAGGGAAATATCTTTGGACAGCGCTGGCTCAATGGCCTTGAAATGGAGAAGAGCATGGAGTAAAATCCTCAGGGACTCCTTACCCACAAGGAAAGACCTGTAGAACTGTGCTCAGTCTGGAAACTAGCTACCGTAGGGAGTTTTCCACCCATTTACTCTGATAGTATAAAAATTCAGGTCATCCATTAAAATTTACTCAGGGTTATCCATTTAACCTTAATGTGGGAAGATTCACGTTACTACACATCTAGGGAAGACTATATCTTTAGCTCAGGGTTGAACTGTGGAGCCCCGGTGCTCTCTGAGCTTCGTTGTTTCCTTGCAGACATTCTATTTTCCAGTTAGGTAACATGTTGAATGCATTGTTATTTGAAGTACACAACTAGAAGGGTGGGGGGACAGAAAGAACATTAATAAAAGGAAATTTTGGGGAAAGAAACTTGTGGAAGGAGGGGAATGAAATTTCAACATAGTATTAAACCAGAGCTGGGCATTTTATGACCTCTGAGCCGTATCTGGCCCTTTGGCTGTTTCTCTCCAGCCCAAATGAATTTCTTTTATTTTGAAGAAGACTGCTACTTTTTTTCCCCAATGTACATATGTGCAGGCATCCTTGCCTATGCACCTTCACAGCCCTATTGGTTGGGCCCTCCACAACAGCCCCAGTTTCCGATGTGACCCCTTGGGAAAATTAATTGCCCACCCCATGTTAAACAGCGGCCACCAAATTCAGCGATGGCCACCAATTTATCTGGTTTAAAAAAGAACTGTCCACGGCGAGCTACTAGTTTAGAGAAGATGGTCTCTTGTCCCAGAGGCAGCATGTCTGTTATTTATGTGGGTTATGATAGACTTTCTTTCATCTTTCTTGGGTAGATCAGTCCCTACCCAAGGGACACAGAATGCTGGGTTAAATACTAAATATTCTCTGTGTTGCCCAGCTTAATTCTCCTGTGTTCTTTGGGGATGTATCTGAGAGGTAGACCCTGGATTCACATCTCAGAAGGTCCATAAAATTTAGCACTGTGCAGCTATTAAAAGAAAAACAGATATCTGGCCCCATTTCTCTCTGCTGGAACATCATTGAAAGAGACCAATGCGCTGAAGAACTCCCAAAATCCTTTAAAATTGAAAGGGAACTGATGAAAATGTATTTAGGTTGATGTCAGGGAGCAGAGAGAAAAATGCGAGCATACATGTATGAAGAAGGAAAAGAAAAAAAAGAGGAAGAAAAGAAAAAAGGGGAAGAGGAAGAAGGGAGATAGGTGAGACTGAGGAAAAAAGGAAGGAAGGATTAAAGTACCTGAAGGCAGGACAAGAAGCAACGGATGGAAACTAATCAAGGAGAGAAACAACCTAGAATTAAGAAGAAATTTCCTGACAGTTAGAAGAATTAACCGATAGAATGGCTTGCTGTCAAAAATTGTGGGTGCTCCATCACTGGAGGTTTTTAAGAAGAGATTGGACAGCCATTTGTCCAGAAGGGTATAAGGTCTCCTGCTTGAGCAGGGGGCTGGACTAGAAGACCTTCAAGGTCCCTTCCAACTCTTTTATTCTGTTATTATAGGAAGGAAAGAAGGAAGGAAGGAAGGAGAGAAGGGAGGGAGGGAAGGAGGGAAGGAAGGAAGGAAGGAAAGAGAGAAGGGAGGGAGGGAAGGAAGGTCCAATAGAATTGGTGTGATCTGTTGTCTCTGTGCTTGTGATAGCCTACTTAGGGATGGGGCAAATAAAGTTGGATGTAGAAGAAAGTTACAAATGGTCCTTGCCTTACTCTTGTTTTAATGACTGTTCAAAGTTACCATGGCACTGAAAAAAAGTAACGACTTGGTCTTCGCCCTTATGACCATGGCAGCATTCCCACGGCAACGTGATCAAAATTTAGATGCTTGGCAACAGGCATGTATTTTTGATGGTTGCAGCATCTCAGGGTCACGCGATCGCAATTTATCACCTCCCCAGCTTCCAACAAGTAAATTCAATGGGGGAAGCCAGATTCGCTTAACGACCTGATGATTCACTTAACAACTGCCGTGGTTTGATTAACAACAGTGGCAAAATGATCTTAAAATCAGCCCTGACTCACTTAACAATTGCCTTGTTTAGCAATGGAAATTCAGATCCAAGTTTCGGTCGTAAGTCAAAGACGACTTGCACTTTTCCAAGTTGGGGCTGGTCTTACCTGCCCATCAATCCTATTATGCTCAGTGCGTTCTAAGATCTGCAGTCCCTGGCATTGCATGACGGGGCCCCAACCCCAAAATGTTACGTGTATAAATGTTTCTTGTATCCCCAAAGAATTTGCAACGTGTTTATAAACTATGGATGAGTCACTTGTGATTATCTTTGGGTGCTAAAAATGAGCCAAAGATCAACAATGAAACCACAGAAGGCAGGGAGGGCAGGTTAAATCACTAAGTTTAGAGTCTTTGGGGTTTTCCCCCTGATCCTCTTTAACACACTCTTTCTATCTTTAGGATCATTTAAATTTTTACTGCACAGCCAGCAGCCTGGGGAATTTGATCCTTTCCATTAAATGCGAAGAGGCAGATGGAATTGAATATCTACGGATTATTCTCAGGTAAAGAGAAGGCATAAAGGAAACACTATATATAGAAAACGAAAATGCATTGATTGGGAAAAAAACAGAGAAGAGCAACTAAGATGATCAAAGGCCAGGAGACTAAAACATACGAAGAATGGGACTTGGGTCTGGCTATTCTGTTCTGTTCTGATCTGTTCTGTTCTGTTCTGTTCTACCTCTACCTCTACCTCTACCTCTACCTCTACCTCTATTCTATTCTATTCTATTCTATTCTATTCTATTCTATTCTATTCTATTCTATTCTATTCTATTCTATTCTACCTCTACCTCTACCTCTACCTCTACCTCTACCTCTACCTCTACCTCTATTCTATTCTATTCTACTCTATTCTATTCTATTCTATTCTATTCTATTCTATTCTATTCT